CTGTTCTCAGCAGAGCTCCAGAGAGAGGAGCTGTAAACATATATTGAGATGGTTTTTGGTACTTATACTGCAAATATATATTCTTAAGGACATCAAGACTTAAAATAAAACTCCAGAAAGGTGTAAAATATGTGACCTTTAAAAAATTTTACTGACCCCAAGCTGGCTGGTGCAAATACTACAGACTAACCAAAACCTTAAAAAGCAAACTTAATGCGTTTAAAAAAAAATTTTTTAATATATATTTATTTCATCGATAATTTTTTTTCCAAATGTGTTTGATTGAGTTTACATGGGGAAAAGCTGATGCACAAAAACGTATATTATATGAGATGCAATTGCATGACACGCTCTCTAGTCTGCAGTTTATTTCTGTCTCTCATGACACATTGTCATTACGAGATGAGCGCCAGATAATGGGCTTAAAAGGTCAGACGGCACAACAAAACATTCAATAATTTCATCCTGTCCTCTTCTGTACTGTATAATTAGCTGATTAGGCTCATCATCATTATTAATGTGAGCTGTGAAATGTGCTTGTAAGTGAACATGTACAATAATGCACACAAGCCCATTTAGGAATCCCACTGAACACATCAATGAGGGATTTGATCCAGAGCTTGCATTAGTTTACAAATCCAGTCAGAGGAAATCTGCTCCATCTTATCACCGGGCTTCCTCAGCCTTTGTCTGGAGCAGCCGGCACACTCCCAAACACCACACGCCCCCTCCACCCGTGCTGACGGATGGGTGTGTGTGGAGAACCAGCGGCCTTAAACACAGACTAATATATAATACACATTTTCCCTGTGTTTCACCCCGAGCAAAAAAGTACATATATATTTACTGTGTATATATAGCAAAAAAAAATTACACACACAAACACACACATATATATATATATATATATATGTGTATGTATGTATGTATGTATGATATATGTATATATATATATATATATATATATATATATGCATGCCAATTACATTTTATATTTTTAAATGCAATAAAATTTTTGCAATGCACTAAATAAATGCAATAAAGACTTTTAATAAAAGTCTGACAAATTCAAGACAATTAAGCACATTTCCTTTTCAAATGCCTTTTGTCATTTTTATTATTCTCATTAGTTCTTTCAGTATAACAGAAAAAAATTCATTTTTTATTTCAAGCATAAATTAAATGCCGCACAACACAACAAACACTACCATGACATATCATGACTTCCCGTAATTAGCATTATTTATTTATTTGCATTACAATAAAAAGATTTGGTGGTTTAAATGTGTTTAATTGTCATGAAAATAAACTTCATAAATAAAGCAAATAAAATAAAATTGACTTCTTTTAATTTCTTTTCAATTTTAGAGTGAAAGGTGACCCAGAGATTCATTCAAATATCTGATATCACCACTGTACAATGAGAACATTTCAATATTGCCAATTTTGATGCACTGTAGCCTCACCCTGAACCCTTGCACTTCACAATAACAGCTTTTAATAATCTTTTTGTTTTGAAACGTGCCAAAGGTCACTATTGTTTAGAAAGCGCTGCCATTCTCTCACAGGAAACACAGTCTAAATCTGGCCAGACTCTAAATAAATGTCTCTCTTTGTCATTTGCAAACGTCAGGAGAGCATCACCTCGACTCGAACGCGGCCTCTGAGCTGCTGTCATTGTTTTGTGAAGATGAAAACATGTGAGCCGTTCTGTTCCTCACGCACAACTACACACACCACCGTCTGGGTCAAATCAATGAGGCCTTTGTGTCGTGAGTGTGTGTGTGAAACGCTCAGCGTTTTATGTGTGTGAGCATCTCTGCACGTGAGCAAACGTGTGGCTTTATAAGCACAGATAAAACACATGTATTGCTAATTTTTTGTGTTAGTGCTAGAGGTCTGATCACATGCACTAAGTATTAAAGTTGATAAAAGGGAAGAAAACACCTAGCAACCTGCATAGCAACATCTTGGCCTCCAATTTTATGCGAAAATACAAAAATTGCATTTTTGTTGTTTTAGAGGGAGTTGTCTTTTCAATGTCCTTGATGGAGGAAAATGGGGCGTCATGCTAAGAACATCCAGACAAGCGTGACAGATGGACACTTTCATCAACTTTCATCTCAGAATCTGTTCCTGAACTCGATGACCATGAACTACATGTCCGGCAATGTGCAACAAACTAATAAAACTCAAAAAAAGCATTTCTGAGCCCTTCACACTGTTGTTTTTTACCTCCTCTCTGCAGATAGCAGCTAAAAGCTACACTATTTTGCAAAAACGTGCCTTTTAAAAAGTTTTGCAGGCCTCATGTACTGTACATTAACGACCCGCTAAAGATCCTCCCGCTCCGCTGTCCATTAACTATTCATAGCAAACCAGCTATCCGATATCTGACGATACTCTGTTCAGAGAGACAAACGTGCTGCATGTGAACGAATATCTTCCAGGAACGTTAATCAAACGTTTGTTCAGAGTTATCTGAGCTTTAATATTAATGTTCTCAAATATTAGCACAAAATGTTATTAATACATCATTCATAGAACGTTTGATCTCTGAAACGTTGGATGTTCATCTAACGTTTTTTTTTTTTTTTTTTTAAATGTTACTACTTGTTTCATGATGTTCAGATAACATTCAAAAGTAACATTCCCTTAATGTTTGGAAAATCATAAAATGGAATATTCCCTTAACATTCTAAAAACATTTAAAAAACTGGACTTTTTGAACATTCAGAAACAGTGTTGGGGAAAGTTACTTTTAAAAGTAATGCATTACAATATTGCGTTACTCCATAAAAAAGTAACTAATTACGGTACTTAGTTACTTTTTCTAGGTTATATATAATTAGGCCTAACCAGATCATCTGGTTACTGTAATCTGGTTAACAGTGTGCTGAGCTCATGGGTTCAGGGTGTGGACCTCTCCAATATGAACACAACATTAAATATAGACACAGGAATTGTTCAAAATCAGTATGATGTATATCGAATTACCATGATATTACTTTTTGCGGCATGTATCTATATTGTTCTTTTGTGTGGGTAGAAAGAAAAGCAGTCTACAGTCCCTCTGGATCAGGATACACACTGAAATAATTCTTTTTAAAAAGCGTCTTTTACCTTTATTCCCTGCTGCTGGGTGGTTAAAATCAGCTTGGACTCATCCAGGAGCAGAACCTCACAGTAAAACTCCTCTTGGACTGAACAGAAACAACTCATCTTGAACTAGACAGAAGATCCACAAAGAGTTCTGATCCAAACTGAAGAGCCTAGAGAAAGCTCGGGATGTTACAATCCATCATCCAGCTCCTGTCCTCCTTTGTTACATGTTCTCCGCTCGAGTCTTCATGCACCTGATGTTTGTCCCATCTGAACTCATATGATGAATACACTCTGTGTGCTGAAAAGTAAATCCCCGAGCCTTTACTTCTGTTTTGGGCCCGCAGGTGACTTCAGCTGGTGGTGTGGGGCTGGATTGATCCGAGTGTCCCATCAAAACCTCCTGACTCACTGAACGTGTTTCACTTGGATACATGCTGTGTGTTGCCAAGCAGCTCGAGCTGTTCACGTGTGTGACTCCGCCCTCAAGCACGCTGTGCTCAAGACTGTCCTGCCACCTGTCGGAAACTCAGCGCATCCTCTCCTCTAAAAATGCGGTCAGCGATCATTTATTTCGTTATTTTTTTTGCTTTTGTTAATTGTATAATAAATAAAAAGAAAACAAACATATAGAATACAAAAAGATTAGAGAAGCTAGTGTTATTTATTTTTTTTAAGAAAACAAGTGGTTAGTAAACGAATAGAGTGCAAGTCTAAAAGGGGCAAGTTTTTTTAAAGAATAGAATTAGAATAGAGAGTGCTAGAGTTAGAGGGTCGAATAACGATGGTTAAAAATAGTTTAATAAAAACATTAAAATCTTAAATAAATAATTTATAAAAAAAATAAATTTTGTTCTTAACAATTATTATTATTATTATTATTATTATTATCATCCACTACAGGTCTACACATTATTGAAGAGACTAAAGCAATTCTCTTGCCTGCCGCTTGGTGTCGTTTTGAGCAGGCAGCTCACTGCGCATGCGCAGATCCTGACGCCACTAACAATATGGCGCAGCGTCGCGGGGACTGGAGCTGCTGAGCAGAAAATCACTCACACAAAAGAAGACAAAGTTCCAAACAAACCCATGATACAATCAACAAACCGAGAAATATCCGTTTATTGAGCTCCAACAGTATGAATTCCCGGGATTTATTCCGGCGTGGGCGATAAACTCGAGTTATTTAGTGGAAGAGGGCGAATGTTTGTGCAGGTAAGACCTTAAATAGCTTCAGTGGTGTTTATATAAACAACATAATCTCAGATACGCGTTAATACGCACACGTTTCTGTTAATAATGCTTTGACTGAGTTTATAAAATGGTGTGCTCTTAAAACAAGTAGTGTTTTCTCAAGCTAAAGCCTGAATATGTGTCTGTTTATGTGTTAAGAGTTAATAAACAGCTGTGAAATGATCACTCATCCATCAACATTTAATAAAATCATATCAGTGCGAATGTCACACATATATAGTGTATTTACTGCTCTACACTGTTTAAAAACTTGCAATTTACATAGTTAACTATATGCTCCACTCTAACATTATCTCCTTTTTCTCTAATAAAACGTTTTTGTATAAAAAATGTAAAGGATATTCATGCAATAAAAATATTTTAATATTTACATTATAGTTTTATTGTTATATTAAGTTATATTTATTATTTTAATATATATTTCTTTATATTAATTTATTTCTACAAAAATATTTGTTATTGTAACTTTTTACATAATACATAAATGTTCCATTGCATTTCTACGAAAAATCCTTCTAATATTATCCATATAAAAATATTTAAATTCTATTCCATTATATTTTATTTTAATAGTTTAATGTATATTTATTTATTGAATATATTATATAGTTTGCATTTCCAAGATAAATAAAAAATACCATAGTAGCACATTACTTTTCTCTAATAAATTGTTACTACACTAATAAACTCTACAATGATATTGTACTCCGATAATATGCTATGCTTCTCAGAATTCTCTTAAATTCTGCTGTAATAAACGTCTTTAATAAAGTCTATTGCTGCTGTATTCTACTCTGCACTGTGATAAACATCTCTAGCAGTCTGATAACCTCTACATCTCTCTGATAAACCTGCTGTTGGTTACAGGAGTCCAGCAGTGGATTTGCACTGCACCGCTTGGCAAGTGGCCTGCACTGGCAGACGGTGAGGAAAACTTGTTTTGTTTTTTAACACACACGAAGTCAGTGTGCTATGATGTCTTTAAGATGAAGAAAAGTGATGTTATTTTTACCTCTCCCCTGCTGAAGCATAATAGGGGTTGTTTTGCTTTGACGGAGCCTGTGAAAAATGGTTTGTTTGGACCTTTTAAGATCTGTCGTGAGAAATCAGTGACATTGTAACTAATCACCAACTATACAAGCTTATACAAGTTTTGATATTACTTCTTAATGTTAGTTTATTTTGCAATGATATTCGGTATTGGATTGTTCATAATTGTTAGGAACATTGTACAGTTTTGCATTCTGTTGCTGGTATATCTGTTTGGGTTTTTTTGCTTGGAAAACTTTAATCCTTATTTATTGTATTTTGCATGGAAAAGAGTGACCAGTATTTTACTGAAAAAATGTCCATTTGTGTTCCATGGTCTGTGGGTCCCTAAAGAATCATATCAACTTGTGGAAAATGGGCATCATATGACCCCTTTAAGAAGTCTTTATTCCGCCTTCCACAAATTTAGGCCTAAAACGGTCTTTAATCAGAAATTAAATGAAAAAGTCATGGCATTAAATCTTATTAGCAGTGCAAAGAATGAATGCCTTCCTCAGTATTTTTAGTTTTTTAATACAAATATCTAAACATCCTTAAAACAAGATACAATTACTTGTGATGCACAATATATATGAAGTCTTGTTTTCTGAGAAATCTAATAAAATTGAGTTTATTCTTAATACAAGAACAAATGTTCTGTCCATGGTGTGTGAAAACTTCAATTCAATTTCTCATAAAACAAGACTTGTGATCTTACGTAAATATATCTTAATTTAAGAATCTTTAGACTTTTTTTTTATTTTTATTTTTTTTAATTGAATTAAAAGGTAATTGAGATCTGTTGGAAGTTGAATACAAGACATTTACATTTAGAGACCATATTGACATTCAATTTATTTCTTAAATTTTCTTTACTTGGTCTTAAAAAGCGGCTTAAAATTTTAAATGTACCTTTTTAAAACTTGCAGAAACCCTGTGTAATAAGTAAAGTACATATTAATAAATAATGACAGAATTTTAATTTGTGATGGACTGTTCCTTTAAGTTTGCTTTAGCATTTCTTCTGAGATGAATCTGGAGGAACGTCTATCCGCTAAAACTGAACTGGAAACGCAAAGTATGTTTTAAGGTTCTTCTGAATTCTTATTGAGGTTTAATTGGGCAAAAGTAGGTTAGTTGAGACTACTTTTCATGTGCACGACTGGTTTGACCGTAACAAACTTCATTAATATTTAATCTAGGTTTGAAGTGAGTAAACATGAAGTGAGTAACAGATTTGGCCTGTTTGGTGTATATTTATTATGCAATAAGTTGCTTTCAGATAGCTTCATGTGTTATTTTTGTGTGCATTGTCTGTGGATTTGGTTGAACACATACTGAATTGAGTATGTAGTAAAATATTTGTGTAATCGGGTTTATATCCTATATATTGTACACTTCATTGGCACTAAATGAGCAGGGATACTTAAAGGAGGAAATTATAGATTTAAGTTTTTTTAAATGGCACAAAACATTAGCCTTTCCTCTTCTATTTAGAATGTTTTCCCACACAAGTAAGAAAAAGTGCGGACAGTTTCCCATTGAATTGCTCCACAAGAGAGGACTGACCAACAAGAGTCTCTGCCAATGTCCATTTTTCAGCTCTCAAAGACCCAAAGCTCATTTACATGAAAAAAAAACCCATCCAGCGTATATAGAGAAAGCCCCCCGTCTGTGTTTTCTATTCACCGCCTGAGTTTGAGAACGCAAATCACAGCCACTTATAGAGCATGATTTATTATACCCAAAGGCTTATTCAGGAACTCTTGAGACTGTAATTGCAATGATAAAGTTGTACAGTAGCAGTAAACGCACAGTGATGGACAGTAATGCCGCTGTGAGCGAATAGTACGGATTATGGACTAAGAAATGTGTTATTTGTTTAAAGGGGTCATATGATGCGATTTCAATTTTTCCTTTCTCTTTGGAGTGTTTTTTTTTTACCCTAATAAAAGTTATAGGAGCATTAAATAGTTAATAAAGAAACTTCATTCTAATGCTCATTATATTAGCGTTAGCCGCGCTTATTCTAATGATTAACTACTCTAATAACAGCGTTTATTTCAATCCGACATTCAAATTAAAATATTGAATAATATTCATAACAGAAGATCT